TAGATGGATGAAAATTGCTTTCTGATGGCTTATGCTGCAAGCTCATCAGCCCTACTTTCAAATCCCAAGGAGGGACAGGCAATCCCCAATCTCACTACTTTAACTTCAAACACTAAACAGTAAAACCATCCATTCTCCTCCACTTATCCAATTCAGTGTTGCAAGGGTGCTGGGGCCTACCCCAGCAGCTGTAGGATGAGAGACAGGGTACACTAAGGATAGATCGCCAGTCTGTCTCAGGGCTAACACAGACAGACAACCATTTCCATTTACCTTCAGGCCTATGGCCAATTTTGAACCAATTAACCTAATCCAACTATTTCCATGTCTTTGGACCATGGGAGGAAGCTGAAGTACCCAGAAAAACTTCTCATAGAAAGGCCCAGGCTAGATGGTGGAATCAAACTAAGGACCGTCTTGATGTGAGGCAACAGTGCTAACAACAACGCCACTGGTGGTTACAACTGTCCAACAATGAAAAAGCAAAACTTAAAAATATTCACTAAAAATCCAAAGCTGAAATCTATAACTAAGAATTCAAAACTCAGAACAGAAACGAACAACAGAAACCCTTAGAACCATGCCAGCAAGAGGTGATAGAAAGCCATGCATAATTTCATGAAACTTCCATAGTTGAAAACGGTGAAAAAAACAAAACTTCTGCTGTTTTTGTCTGTTCAGGTGGGACGGCTACAGTGTCCTCTGCTGCTGGTTGTAGGTGAGGATGATCAGAACTGGCCATCCCAAGAGTCTGCATTGGATGTAAGTTTCCTGTCACAACTTCCTATGTAAAGAAGGTGGTTGAAATAAGGTTAGAAATGGGATTAACCCTCTCAAGGCAGGCGTTGCAGATTTGCAACAGTTAAAAACTAACAACCTGATTACCCCACATACATATTTTATGAGGTTTTTTTACTCAGAAGTACCACTGCAGGACTTGGTTGTGCATTAGCAATAAAAAGTTTAAGTTTAATTTGAGCCTGAGAGGGTCAAAAGAATCTGCATGCATTGCTTTGAACATTCCTCAGCAAACTGCCCTGGTTGATGTAGCACGGACTCCCAACAGAGTAGTAACCACAGACTGGGGCAACCTGTCAACCTCCAGTTGAGGTTCAGGCTTAGGTGTTCTAGGCAATGCCCCAGATCTCCAAGCGATGCTGCAGACATGTGTAAGCCAAAATAGCCTGATGATTGTCATCTCCCTGATAGCCCTTCCTTGTCAGAAAAGTGGAGCTTTCCATTGCTTGAACCTCCCCGTGCTGAGGATGTGTCACCATTGGGGGAAAAAAACGTGGTTAATGCCATCACTGATGGCCAACACAGGAACTATAAATGATAACCCTGCATCATTTTATAAACCATCGAAGGGTTTGCCCCCAAGAGTCTCCCAGGACAGCTGATGCCCCAGGGGACACTGGGGCAGCTCCAAGAGTCCCCCAGGACACTGGCCACCCAGGGAGGTAGCAGGAAGAGGCTTGGTCCTGAAATCTTTCAGAAACAGGGAGGAGGCTTTTGTAGCCCCTGGCTCCAACCCTTGTTTTTCTGTGGGCTTTGTTCAGCTTTACCACACGGAGTGCTGCTTCCTATAGCATCGAGCTTGTGTCTGGCTCAGATATAGCAGATGGAACCACAAGTAGTTTAAGTAGACAGCCATGGTTTTCTACTTAAGATAGCCAGAGGGCAGTGCTTTCCTATCCAGAAGGAGGTCATAGCCCTGCTGGTTGCCACTCCCTGCTCCTTCATTACCTTTACCAAAAGTAGAGAGGTTAGGACGTGCTGCATTTCTATGGCATTTCAGATCCATCCCCCAGCAGCAGTCACTCGGTACTGGTACATCATTTGCGTTATCCTCCTGTTCCTGGATTGTCAGTTAAATATATAATTGCCTGCAACATCCAATTGGAACAATATTTCACTTCACAAAAATCTCAAAAATATATTTGAAAAAATTCTACTAAATAAAACAGAAAATAAAGCATATAGGGGGTAAAGGGGATCAAAACTATAAAATTCAAATCGAAATTTCTCAGGTTTTTGGTGCATTACATTTGGGATGGGTAATAACTTATTGAAGATCATTAGACATAATTTTGTGAGTTCTCTGGCTAGTAAGTAGCAACATGATTTTTTTAGATAAAATGTTTTCAAGTTTGTGTCTGTAAAGAATAAATTATGTGACAACTAAAGGGCTTCACATAAAAAAGACACAACAAAACTATTTCAAAAATATAAGAAAGTTTTACTTTCATGTTTTCCAGATTAAGGAAATGATGGCACGAGCGGGGAACAGTCATCTGCTCACTGTCCTGTCATACCCAAATGCAGGTCACCTGATCGAACCGCCCTACACACCACATGCCAGATCTAGCACCTTCAAGACCGTTGAAATAGAACAGAAGGGTAGGTTCACTTTCACACTACAAGGTTGCAGACTGTCTCAGTTGTTCTTTGAGGACCAGAGGGGTCCACATTTTGGCAGGTTTGAGAAATGAATGTTATTTAAAGTTGATGTTCAGGTAATTTTGTGGCAAGAAAATGATTGTGAAAAAAACTCTGGACTACACATGCAAATTATCAGTAAATTTCTTGTGGTACCAGTTTTGGTAACAGCAGTTTTTTGGGGAGTCCTGATGTCTGTTTTGTTTTTGCAGTGATGTGTCTGTGGGGTGGACAAACGGTGGAACATTCTCGAGCTCAGGAGGATGCCTGGAAAAAGATGGTGGTTTTTCTCAGAGAGAATCTGTATGGTGGTAGAAACCCTACCTCATTTTCTCACCTGTAGTCAAGATGATGACATGAGTTCCAAAGTCAATCCAAGATGAAAATATTTGCCTAAAGACATAGTTAGGTGAGACGACAATGGAAGCTCTTCTGTGGCAATCCGTATATAATGCATTGCTATGAAGATATTGATTATGACCTTTGGATTCAGTTTCAATATTACTTATTAAAAATGTCTTCTTAATAGAAATAGTTAACGGGTGTAATGGCTTTTGTAGTAGGAAGCTGCCACTTCATATGATCATTAAATCATAAACTACTTTTACAGAAAGACAAGCAGAGACAATTGTTCCCCCACCAAATACTCACACAAACCAAAATATCTTCCTGCACTATACCGATTTAACAGGATAAACTGGATAAGGTGCACTGCTTTTTGACTGATGAATTCTAAAATGTTTTTAATACTATAATTAAATATCTAATATATTACAAAAAATTATTAGTGAAAATGACAAGTGGTGAAGAAATTTTTCAAACCATTCCTTTAGGAAAAGAAGCAATAAAATACTGAAAACACATCAGTACACATAAAAATGTACTACTGAAAACTGTGCATTCAGACTGACTATAAGTTTAATTTCCAGCATCAAATTCTATACATCATGTCTGCAGTAGTTGTCCTTTGGGGATCTCTGGAAAAAAGTTGTTTGTGAAAAATAAATATGTTGGCCTGTGTTTGTAAAGTGTATTAAAATGTTAATAACAAATAAAGGCTAAATTAAAAGGTTTGATCATTACATGACATGGTTAACTGTCAATATCTATAGGGACAATTAAAATATGAATGAATGTAGAGTGTAACAAAGTACAAATACACCGTTACTATATTTAAGTAGTTCATAGTTCATCAAGTTCAAGTTCATCAAATTTTATTCACCACATGCAGTGGCAGGTTGCCCTGCAGTGAAATGAACCCGCCCCCCGACCTTACACACACAACACAGACATCACATGGGGATACAAGTCAGAGAACGGTTGCATTACAGAAAAACCACTGAAATGTACACTACA